TATTATAATATAAATTATACTAAAAATATTCTTTTAATAATAGAATTACTATTTAAATTAGTTATTAAAATTTAATTTAATTATTTATTATAAAATTATTTATTTTATTATTTATTTTATTATTTAAATTATTAAGTTTACTTTATATTGTTTAGTTTATTTTATATCTTTTATTATCCTTTTAGTTTATTAGATTCTTTTAATAATCTATTTAACTATTATATAACTTCTTATTCTATTTAAGTACTAATTTATCTAACCCTAGCCTAACTTACCTAGCCCCATATATATGCTGTAGCGTTCGTAACACTTACTAGCAGGTGGGTGACCGACGTTAGCGAACACAACTCCTCCGTCAACCCCGCTTCAGGCTTCCATCTACGCACAACACAACATCTCGAACTCTTCGATATGATATTGTTTAAAGTTGAGGATGGTATCTCGTGGTATCAGGAACTCGCCTCTTCTCTAATGGAATGGCTGACCCAGCCCCGTAAGCACTAACATACGCTATTCAGTACTTTGCTAACAAATTGAAAGATATTATGGCTATTATTATAGCATGGGCGGTCACGTTCACGATTGTATGTTCTCTAATTCTTGCGCTAGGATTTGGGCCCATCGGCATTGGTGCTGGTACGTGCTATACGGTTACCACTGCAAGCAACTGCTGATCTTGGACAGGTACTTTGGCTGCGGCTTTCCAATCGTACATGTACGGTGGCTTTACACCGGCCGGGGGAATATTCGCCACACTGACAAGTATGGCTATGCTCGGAAGCATGATGCCAGCCGCGGCCATTCTTGCCGCATTTCTAGCTTCAGGTATCGCGCTCATCATTTGGGCCTGTGATGTTGGACGTTGACTTAGCTTTAGATAACTCTTTCAGGAGAGATGGCATCTCCTAGGCTGTTCGCGGCTGCTTTTATTATTGTCACGGTTTATTTCAACAAGATAGCAGCACTGATGTCAGAGTGTAGTGACAGCAGTAATTAGAGTTTAAGAGATGTTTTGCTTAAGGCAGCCACTTTCGGATAGAAGCTGAACACATCTGATCGTAAGCATCTTGTGGGTCTCTTCCTCACTAACTTGGAATTCATGTGCATCCTTTGGCTTAGAATGAATGAGGAACTCGCGAAACGACTGGTGATTTTGGCCCTTTTCATCTAGCGGAATCATAAGTACCGAATGCGGCCGCTTCAGCCTATCCTTAACGCACCCGGCGGAAATGAGCTTCGCCAGTGCCACAGTGCTAAGAGGACTTAAGAGAGTAGCTATAGAGCCCATAATTTGTCCGAGCTCAGTGATTGCACGACTACGCGATATGCCTTTGAGTCCCTGGACCATCTGCTTAAGCGAAGGCAGGTAAGTCCAGTGAAAACTCCTTTGTAATATAAAGTCACTATAATAGTATAGAATCCAGTAGAAGCTGGCTCCTATAAAACGTAGTATACTATAATTATTATATCGCTTTATACTATAGCCTGTCTGTTTCTTATAGATTATTCCATTCCTAATCATGTAACTATAAGTGCACTATAGTAAACCGGCCTAAGTGCAGATCCCTATTAAGCTTCAAAATGGAGGTGCCAGGTGCACCTTGCTCTTAGGGTAGACTCCTGTTCTAGTCCATAGGAACACCTTTCATAGTTACTTACAGTCTTTTTATAACATTCGGTGACGGTCGGCTTCCCGAACTAACAGAGTCTAGGCAGGGAGGAGCAAACAGGCAGCGCGGCATGCTTGCTGGCCAACAGGAGTCCTGAAAAACAAACCCGCGTTATTACAGGCGGATGTAAAATGAGATACGAGAAGCATTATAGCAGCACCCTTTGTGGCGCCGCAAAAACTGTAAAATGCAGCGGCGGTACCAGCACTGGCAGCAGTACAGGTCGGGGAGAGCGTCGCGAGGAGAAACCAGGAGAATAAGGGCCGTATGTTTGCCAGCGAGTATAATGGTCGAGTGAATTTTTTGCGTGACTGTTTGCTGGTTAAAATTGTGTCTCAATGTTATCGCGCGAGTGTGCTGGTATCCTTAGCATAGGGCACAGCGCCGTCCAACCGAGTGCGCAAATGGCACATCAATAGCTTGTAAACGCATCCGCATGGCTGCATCGCGGTGTATAAAAATCTACGCGATGAGCTAGTCCAACGCTTTGATGCGCGGTTTGGTTAGGCAGCTACAAGTCATCTTCTCGCTGCCAATTAAAGGCGGCCAGCTCTAAACGGTTGTTCTGGGAACCTCTGCATGACAAGCCAGGATGTAGTAGTTCGCCATCTTGTACAAAGTGTGATGATCTTACTGTAGCTCCAACAAGATCACCGCTGCTTCTCAGCTGAACCAGTAAGCTATAAAACACCGCGTCACTTACTTTTCACATGGCAAGATGGTAGTCATTTTTCTGCGAATTCTCAGACACGGGAACGTGCATGTGCCACAACCTACAAGCCAACTCAGCACTATTAAGAATTGAGTCATCTCCAAATATGTGTCGCAATGCTGAAAGTGACATAGTTTCGAGACAGCGATGAAGCGGCACGCAGCACCCTAGAGCGAACACTTCAAATACGGGAATCTACCATGTTAAAATGTCGAGTCGCGAAAACTGGTGGCGGAGGCGGTATCGGTAGTGTGAATCCCCCGCTTGGGTGGGAAAGGCACCTTACTGAAGCCCTTGGGTTGCCATGCAGTCGTGCCGTTTGTCTTGATGGGCTCGATTGGCGTCACCCAATGCGTCACATGCAACATCGCATGAGCTGAAATGCAGAATGTACTGTCGCCATCATCAACCCCGCGGGCAGATGTCCGCATGTCCGACCATTGGGCCGCTAGCCTCCTCCTGCACCGATCAATGGCAGACACACCCTCCACGATATCACGAAAGATAACGAGCGGCCAAATTGACAGCCACTATGCTGCAAGTTCTGGGCTGCTTTCTGTGTTTCAGCTCATGCAGTGATACGTGTGGTGGACTACGTGACACCAATCAGGCTCGCCCAGTAGCCGCCATGACGGAGGGACTGCTGAGACCACTCAGTAAACACCCCCTGAAGGCTTGCGACAAGAAATGCAAAGGCATGAGAAACAAATCTGTGCATAACTCGAGAGCATAAACTCATAGGAGCGCCATGAACATCAAAATTACGGTATTGAGCAGTCAGACGGCAAAATAATCCGAACCCAGCTCTTGAAGACATTGAGGTTGGCTTAAATGGTGGTATGTTGGGTAAGAACCGACAGTCCCAGCTATTCAGCGACTAACAGACGAAATAGCCTACGACCGCTGACATATTGGCCGGCTTCCTCGACCTCCCCGGCGAGCTTCGAAATTACATATATGAGTTCATCTTATTGCAGAAGGAGCCTCTGAATCCTTTCGTCTATTATACGCCACAAGCAAACCTCACAACGGGTCTGTTCCGTGCGAACAGGACTATCTACCGCGAAACTACCTTGTTCCTCTATTCTAGGAATGTCTTTGATGTCACCAACGCCGGGCCTGGGCAAGTCTCTTCGTTTATCGGGCGCATTGGAAACATCAATGCCGGCTATATTCGTCACATAATAACCACCTTTCCGAGCTTTCTGGATTTGAACCCTGGCGATGTAACATTCGAGGATGACAGCTCTAAAACCCTCAAAATGATCCAAGCCGCTTGTACTGGCCTGAGCACACTTGAGACCTCTCTGGATAGCACAAACTCAATGGAGCTCAGGCTTGACAACTTAGACCACCACAAGCTTGCCACCGAAGCGCTAGAACTAGTCAACACTCATTTCAGAGCCATCCCATCTATACAAGAAATAATTCTTAATGTCTTTGAGGACGGTCCAAGTGACTATCTCAGAAGCATAATGACGAGTTACGGGTGGACGATTAAAACGACGGAATACGAGGAAGAAGAGGAGGATGACAGGGGTTATTACGACTTCGACTATGATGATTATCACTATGACTACAGCAGTGGTGATGAGTATGACATTGACAATGATAGTGATTTTTGGAGGAGAGCAGCAGACTGACTTCATATATTTTGGCAATGTAAATATGAGACAACGGAACCAGTAGGATACACAAGACAGAGAGGTTAACGTAGCCCATAATAAGGCAGGCTCAAACCACCGAGTGGATCATGCTCTTGTAACCCCTGTGCAATAACTTCAGACCACTCCGTGCACATATAAAGTCATTAGACTTAGTAATCTGGTTCATCCCCAGTAGATCCATCTACTGTGATTTGGCACGTACGTGATTTATGTCCAAGCTTTCTACACAGCTTACAACGCCGCGCTCTCATCGCCGCCTGCGTCTTGCGACCGTCGTGACTGCGCGTTCCATTCTGCCGCTTCTCATTAACGCCCAGCTGTAACTGTAGCGTTTCCATCTTGTATAGTAAGTGATCCTTCGTCTTACAAACGTTTCTTTTTAGTACGCTGGCGCCGCGAAAGTCTCTCGTTTGCTAGTCACAGTGCGCGGTTCTCGCTTTGCAATATTGGCAACTGGTGCCGATACTGAAAATAATAGATGTCGGCGAGCTCTTTTGCTGTGTTATGATCCGATTTCGTACGTAATCTGTTTGGGTTTAGCCTCAATTGGGTTGTTTGGTGTCTTCAGATCCCAGAGAGTGGGAGGGAAATCCAGATGTTCCGTAAGGCCAGCTAATCGTCATTAAGAGTATTAATTAAAGCAAAAAACTAGCTATATCCCTTAGGGGACAGTTAGAGACACTCTTATAGAGTGCCTTCTTTAATAATAAAAACAATATATATAAAAATAAACTTTTATAAGTTATATTTTCTTCTTTAATTAAATATTATCTTTTTATTTAATATACTCTTTATAGTTTATTAGTTTATAAAAGAAACTTATAAAAATAGTTTTTTAATTAGAAATTAAATTTTTAATCTATAGTTTATTTTTATAATATAAAAGAAAATATATATTTACTTTTAAAATAAGAATCTAGCTTATAACTATAGTAAGTCTAACTTAATAATAAAATTAGAAAAGAACTTTAGAAAAGTAAATTAATACTTTTAACTATTCTTATATAATACTAGCTTAAGACTATATAAATAAAAGTAGCTATAGTAGCTAAAATAATCCTAAAGATATATTAAAATATAATACTTTAATTAAAATAAATAAAAATAAGTCTATTATAAGAATAACCTAATTAAAATAATTAATTAAATAAAAACTTATAAATAAACTCTTATTTTTAATCCTTAAAGAGTATAAAGATAAAACAAAGAAAATATAATACTAATATTAGTAAGTACTATACTGTACTAAGGCTATTATAGGCTTAAAGTAAACCTTACTTATTATTATTAGAATAATAATTTAAATAATAGTTAAAAAATAATTATATAGACACTAAAAGTAAAGAAAAATAAAATAAAGTAAAAAGACTACTATTAACTTTAATTCTATACTAATATAATAATAGACTAAAAGTAATTAACTTTATTTACTAAACTAGTACTAGTATAATATAATAAAAAGTTAGTAATTAATACTAAAGATTATTCTTAAGAAGTAAAGAACTAGTTATTACTAAAGATAATAATAGTTATTAATAAAGCCCTCTAGATTAATACTATAATAGCTATATAGTAGTTCTTATTAAAGGATATTATTTATTTATTCTATAATAGTATAAAAGAATATACTAAAGATAATTAGTAACTAAAGACTATATTTAATATAAAATAATAGTCTATTATATATATACTATAGTAGTATTAGGGTCCTATTAGGGCATCTATTAGAGCCCCTATATTATATATATTAAGTGTATATAAGCACCTATATAATAGTAAGCTACTACTAAGCTCTCTATAAGGAGATAGTAATAATTCTATCTTTATAAAAATATAAAAGAGATTATTATATAACTAGAGTCCTCTAAGTAAAGTACCTTATAGGATTATTATTACTACCTAGTATATAAGAAACTAAACTACTTATAATATAATAACTAAATAAATAACTTCTTTTTTATAACCTAATAGTAAATATACTATAAGTAGTATATAAGTTTTATTCTTTATTTAATTAGACTTAATAAATAGTATTAAAACTATAACTATTAATATAATATTTATAAAAAAGATATAAATTAGTATTTAATATATAATAGAAGAGTAAAAATAAGTATAATTTATAGTATACTATAAATAAATAATAAAAGACTAATATATTATAATAAGACTAGAATTAGAAACCCTTTTAAAAGAATAACCTTATAGAAAATATATAATAATAATAAAACTACTTAGTATAGTATTTAATATAAAGTTATTCTAA